CCAGCACCCACATGGCAGCTAACAACCATCCATAACTCCAGTTCCAGGGGATCCAACGCCCTCTTCCGTCCTCCATGGGCACCACATGACACGGGTGCACTTACACACATGCAGGCAATATACTCATACCCAGAAAAAATAAAAATAATAAAATATTTTTCCAAAAAGAGATGCATGTGCTCCCCCCTCCCCTTTTCTTTCTCTCTCTCTGACTCGGGGTCATGAAGACACAGTAAGAAGGTGGCACCCTTAGAAAGTGAAGCCTAGTGAGAAGTCCTCAGGTCATGGAGAGGGGGTACCCTAAAGCAGATGGTGGGACCCCAGTCTCTTCTTTCTCTTGCTATCCAGACATGAGGTGGGTGGTGCTCTGTCACATTCCTGCCGCCATGTACAAACCCAACACAAACCCCAGAGGTCTAAAAGCAATGGGGTCCACCCAAGCCTAAACCACAGGCTGACATTCTGTTCATAAACTATCTCAGGTGTTTGTTACATGGTAACAGCTAATTAATACATTCCTCCTACCTACAATTATTAATGAATTGATCATTGAAACCTATATTTCTTTTTAAAAATACAAATTTGGGGCTGGGTGCAGTGGTACATGATTTTAATCCCAGCACCCAGGATACAGAGGCATGTGGATCCCTGTGAGTTCAAAGCCAGTCTGGTCTATATAGTGAGATCCAGACCAGTCGGGGCTACATGGAAAGACCCTGCCTAAAATTATTTTTTTTTAATTGGAAACTGAGCATGGTGGTCCACATCTGTAATCCCAGCACTCCAGAAATGGAGGAAAGAGGATCAGGAGTTCAGGGATAGTCTCTGCTACATAGGGAGTTACAGGCCAGTCAGGGTCTCATGAGACCCCCACCCCTCAAAACAAAACATCAAAACCAACAACAACAACAACAACAACAATAATAAGAAACACATTTAGGCCAAGTGTAGTGATGGATGCCTTTAGGCCAAGTGTAGTGATGGATGCCTTTAATTCCAGTACTTGAGAGACAGAAACAGGTGCATCTCTGTAAGTTTGATATACATAGTGAGTTTCAGGTCAGCCAGGGCCACATAGTGAGACCCTGTCTCAAAAAAAAAAAAAAAAAAAAAAAAACCATTTAGATGTGGAAAATAGTCAAGTGATCAGTGATGCTTAGCTGGAGAAGGACAGCATTCTGCCTTTGGGTTTTGTGTTTGTTTTTGGTTTTGAAATAGGATCCCCTTGTAGCCCCAGCTGGCCTGAAACTCACTATGTAGACAAGGTTGGCCTGGATTTCACAGAGAGCCATCTGCCTCTGTCCCCTGGCTGCCCTGGGTTTTCTCACTCTCTAGGGAGTGCTCTCTCGTGCTGTTCTGCGGGTCTCTTGGGTAGTTCCCATTTCTGCCTGAAGGGGTAGCAACCGCTCCTCCTTCTCCATCTGGAGATCCTTTAGGTCCCATCTAGATTAGTAAACTGTACACTTAGCCTGATGCATAAAAATACACTTATCATAACTTGAAAACCAAATAAATTCAAAGTTTACAAAAATATATCTGAGCCGGGCGTGTAGTGCATGTCTTTAATCCCAGCACTAGGGAGGCAGAGGCAGGCGGATCTCTGAGTTCAAGGTCAGCCTGGTCTACATAGCGAATTCCAGCTGGGGCTACAGGGAGACCCTGTCTCAAAAACACCAAAACAAAAAACAAAACAAAACCATATCTGGAGTGCCCCGGCCGGAGCAAACCCAGCAAATGCTACTCTGATTCCTCCTTATAGAAGCCTCTCCTGCAGCGACCGACAGCACACAAAGACACGTGCCTGCCCAAGACGCAAAATGTAAGTGACTGCTGAGGGCTCTGTCCTAAACAAGACATTTAAAAAATTATTTTTAATTTTTTTACTATTTCATACATGAGCACTGCATTTACATCACTCCCAATCCACCCCTCCCTCCTCTACGGCCCCCAGCCCTCTTTCAACTTCGTGACCTCTTCCTTGATTAGTGTTGTGGCATATACATATATACATAGTAGTACTCACATGTACATGTGTTTATGACTGACCACTTGGGAATGAATAACCCATCAGGGAGTGTGTCCCTAGAGTAAACTGATTCCCCATCCCTCACCAGCCACCGATTCATCTAGAGGTGGGACTTTGTGAAATTTTGCTCATCCACATTGGCTGGTCAACCAGTACTGTCATTATGCAGGTCTCTAAACAAGACATTTACATCACTCCCTCTAAGGCTCAGAACACTGTAGAAGAGAAGGCAGAAACAATGCAAAAGCTAGAAGACAGGGAAGAGGTCTGTGAGCACCATCTTCTAGCCATAACACAGCTTCTCCAATCATGAAGTCACAGGCCCAACTGTCCTTAACCGATCATGAAGTCACAGCAGCTTTGCTTAAGGACAGTTGGGCCTGCACAAGAC